CTATTCTCATGCCAGATAGAGGTTTGGTGTCGGAAGGCTTGTCGTAATAGCAACGACTAGGGACTGGAATCGCAGCCGTTCCAGGGATGTTGTACCTAGGGATCGATTATCAGCAGAGCCACGTCAGGAAGAGGCCCCTTATTGCTGGAGCAACGAAACACATACGTATGTTCCCTTTGTTCATCAGGTACCACCGGAAATTGAAAAGCCTCGTTCGTGTCGTCGAACAGGCGCCATGCTTGACGAATAATGAAGTTGGTGCCGACGCCGGAAGCAAAATATGGTCCACCGCGGTAGCCTATTTGATGTTTGTTCGAGTATATCGCTACTGCGTGAACGCTTTCAGCTTCCCACTCTTCTGATACGCTGATGGTAAATTTGTCCAGGTCGAACTCTTTGGTCTTTGGGAGAAACAGTAAGTAAATGTGCCGCAGAAAATCCTTATTGTACACGTCGTCTGCCTGAAGCCAGGAACGGACGGTCGAACGCAGATTGGGATGCGAAGCATCTTCCGCGCACTCAAGAACAAACAAAGTGATTGGAACAAGTTCCTCACTGAAACGAGGTGCTGTGCCCAAAATTACGCCGTGGGTGCTTGCGGGTAATGACGTTGAGCGTGATGGAACGTAGTACTGAATCGTTCCGCCGCGAGTAAGCGCCGCAGTAAAGTTGGCTGCCATTATGCTGATGAGCAGCTTGCATGTGTGTGAGATAGGTATACGCAAGTATCTAGGTGGACAACAAGGGCAACAGGAGATGTTTGAGAGAATGTGACTCTTCCGTTTGTGCGACATCTGTTGTTGGTCAATGCATTCTCGGGAGTGCACGTTCGCGTCCATATGTGAAGGACGGAAATATTCTTGGAGCACTATGTACGAATGAGAAGTTGGACAAATGCTCTGCAGCCTACATTAGCGGAAAAGAGAGGAGTGTACAAAGTCCTAAGACATTTTAGCCTTATAGGGTTGGGTCAGCAAGAAAGTTACCTTGGCGCACTTTATGGGGGTTGGGTTATCGGCTATCTCCTTGAGTAGGGCGGATGACATCGAAAACGTTTGTCAGGCATTGCACACGAACGAATGCTCAAGCGAGATGATGCAAGGTGTGTTTCTTGGTGAAGCTACATAAACATCAAATTATCTCCTGCTGCCCTGAGGACCAGACAGGATGCATCCGTCAGCACACTCCGGATCCGTGCTGTTGTACGCAATCTGTCCTACACTGCCACCAGGCTCGATGCTAGGGTCACGCGGGCTCTGGAACATACGTCCCGTCTCTGGTGAAAGAAGCGTCTCGATGATATCGCCGAAGGGATTGCGAATGTGGGCAATGGGCTGACCCTTGGTGACTGGCTCATCGACCTGTACAAGCCTCTCGACGAAGCCTCCGTACTGCGACCATGTGTCGTGGAAAGTGGTGATCATGTATGTGTTGCTGAGATCCGGCTCCACGGTCTCGTTTGTGCCCGTCATCTTGAGGTCGACCATGACACGGTTTACGTAGTCGACTACGCGGTCTATCAGGCTGTTATTCCAGACCTTTGCTTGTCCCATTTCCACCGTGAGCGAGGGAATGCCGTAATCGACGAAAGTTGTCTCGATGGAGCCTGGCTCACCAGGATCGATCTTGAGGGTATCGGGTTGGAGGAGTTTGGCGAGGCGCTCGACGTAGGGAAGGCGGAAGTCGGAGTAGCACCACAGCGAGGTCTCTCCGCCGGAGCTGGGGGTGTCTAAAGCATGTTAGCTGAGTTTTGCTAAGTGTTGGATGTAGCGAGCTTACGCAGGTCAATGCCAACGTCGACGTTTGACGTGTTGGCCCAGATCTGGTTCCAGATGTTGTACGCCAGAATGTCAGGACCACTGCCTCCTTCCATGGCCGAGACACCCGGGAAGATGCGGTTGACGTTTGTGAGAGAACCACTGGCACCAGACGTGAAGTAGTTTCGCTGGTTAAGGTAGATTCCCATGGGGTTGACCGTTGGAATACCAATGACTGCGTGGACGTTAGCAATGATCTCCATGAAGATCCATGGTACATACCTGTGCCATTGAGCGTCGCGACTTGGTCCTGCAGCTGCTCGAACATGCGCTGAACCACGCGAACCGGGTTCAACTCATCGCCGTGAATCGAGGCTGAAAGTGACAGCTTCTTGCCCGTGTGCAGACTTTCTGGGGTTCCGCGCGCAACCATGATGGGGATATGCACGGGGTGTCCGCCATTGAGCTCGCCAGCTCGCATGTAGTACTTGGACACGGTTTGCGGTGGCACGTCAGCGAGGTCGAGACCGCTGATGACCGGGACGCCGTTCACGACATCGCCCGTGAAGTTTACGGCAGAAACGCTGCCGGCGAGGACAGCCGTGGCTGCGGCTACGCGAGAGATGAGCTGCATGGTCGCGTTAGATGGCTGAGGCTACGCAGGTACAATTGACCTGGCCGACTCACCAGCTCTGCTTTATAGTGCTGACTTCTTGCGATAAGAGACCAGCCATGGTAGTTCCGTGGTCCATACTAGCTCCGCTCTTTGCGCAAAGAGGAAGGTCCACATGGGTTTTGTCCACTCCAGTGACGATGCCCAGAGGCGACTGCATGCCAATGCTCGGCGTGCCTGTCAGGCCGAACCCAAGTTCGCGGATTGCATGTAATCTATCGTGGCTTGTGGCCGGTGCCTGGCGATCATCTCGTTGTCGGGTACATGCGGATAATCACAAGTTGAAAACACAATGGCTCTCAAAGCAAAGTCGTGTTCGTAGGTTTCGAGCTGATGTTGTGGAATCCGTAGCTCGCACGAGTCATGTAGCGCCGGTATCGATAAGCTCACTGTCAGCACTGCACATCACGGTGACCGTCAGACCTTTAAGCTTTTCACCAATTTCGGCGTATCGGAAGTATTTATCTTATACCTAGAAAACATCATCTACGTATGACCGTCGCGGTCTTTGGTTACGCGTTGACATCGCCCTCAGCCATTACCCTCGCCACTCATCATCCCATGGTTCCTGTCTTGCCTTGCATTCTGCAATTTCTTGGGCTGAGAAGCCGCAGCGTTCAAGCTCTTCTTCTATCTTTGGCTCCCCGGACTTCTTTGAGCAGAAAGAGAATAGGGAAGATACAGACGAAATTGCCCGATGGACAATGTTGCGCTTCACCTTCGGGCGTGGAGGGAGGTCTGCTGGGAAAGGGGTGAAATAGTACGCGGGATTAATGTTGTTCGCCATATCTAGTGGAGTAAGTTGAAGCGTCCTCTAAGAGAAGTGTCAACGACGAAGCTATTTGAGCCTTAACGAGAGGGCTATGACCCCTAGAAGTAGCAAGACTCTCACGCTGAGCACTAGATTGTAGGAGAAGCACGCAAGTGAAAGCTGTACATATTTGTCGCAGAAGCGCCTGCCGCCTACATACACCTTATAAGGAACAAACTGAATAGGTCTTCAGACTACATTACGATAAAAACGTGCAAAGTAGCACACCAATAATGCAGGCTCCAGGGTATCCAATTTTCTCCTTACATTTGATGCATACCTAGGTACTTGCGCGCAATCTCCCTTGCTGCGCATAAGGTACCACTAGCTTCCAGGACCTGAGCGCTCGTAAGACCTCCAGGTCCACACAATGCTAGACTCTAGGCATGCCTTGCCATACGTCCGCGAGTATCCCCATCTGTCTTCAGAATTTCCGCTTCTCCAACCCTGCGCTTCACACCCACATCCAACTCAGGCACCTTCCGCCTCAAACCCTCTACTCCTCACGGGTCACAGCCCAGTGAATGACAATCCCAATAATACTGCTCAAGCAAATCCCAAGCATAATCAGGAGCCAGAACATCAGGCTTCGAGACCGGCCCACACCTTGAGAGTGCGCGACCTCATCAGGTGCAGCCAACTCGATGTCGGGCGTTCGGTAAGTGTGGTCGTGGGACACTTGTTTGTCAGTCTGAGCAGGGCGCGCAGATGAACCTTGCATCCGTTTCAAGAAAGATTGCTTTGGTGGAGGACGCGGCGGAAGCTCAGTTGGGAAGACCGAGGAGACTTGCTCTGGCGATGTACGTGGGAAAGAGGTGTAGTATTGCAGGTGTCCAGATCGAATACAAATTGGTGGAGGCGGATGAGTGTTGCGCTTAGCAGAGCCGGGGTGAGACTTTTCTGCGTCCGCGCTTTCGGTAACGGTGTCCGTGGGCTCAGGCTTCGTGTGCTCTGATAGCGATGCACGTGGGAAATACATGTAGCCTCGTCCAGATTGAATGGAGAAATGAGCATTCCTATGAGCGTCGCGCTCAGCAGAGCCGGGGTGAGACTTTTCTCCGTCCGCGCTCTCGGTAGCTGAGTCCATGGGCTGAGGTTTTGTGTGCTCTGATAGCGATGAGAGGACGACGTCGGCAATGTCATGAGGCGGTGGTTCGGCAGTTGCTGCATTAGAAGAGGTGGTTGTTCCGTCTGTAGCCGCAGACGATCCAGAGGTCGCCATGGTCGTTGATATCGAAATAGCGTCACCGGAAGGAGTCTCGTCTTCGACTGTCGGGAGCCGACGGGGTTGGTCCATAGGTGTAGTGAACTCGGCAAGAGGAGTCATGGCTCTTGAGAAGGGTTATGATTCAACCTGCTGGTGTGGTGTAGGTCAGAGTTGAGAGTCAAAGGTAACGAGACGCGTTTGATGTGACACAAACTTGGGCTTGAGTAGTGGGCCCGTTTATCGGAGGTGAGCGCTTGTTTTGAACTGACCCTTTCACTGACTTTGCGCTCCCCGGAATGGTGAAGCCGCAAATAGCCAGCGAGGGAAGTCATTTCATCTTTTACTGAGTTATGTGGTCTGCCGTGACCTGGCTCAAGCATGTGGAAGGAGGAAGAACGACAGGGAAACTGAGCAAACACTCATGGGACGTGACAATAGAAACAGTTCATTACAAAGCAGTACTATTAATCCAAACATGCGAAAGAGAACTACCCATGACATACCATAGCCCCGTCATCCGTATGCCTCTCTGCAATCATAACAGCGTCCGCCCTACTCAATATCGACCTTTCGGATCTCAACGTACCCAGAGTCTAGCTTTGGTACTTCGACTCTGAGCACACCGTCTTCCAACTTCGCCGTGATACCGTCGGCATCAACACTGGCAGGGTTGGCCCTCGTCCCGAGGCGGATCTTTCTCTCGAAGGCTCCAACCTTACGCTCGTTCAGAGCCAGTGTCTTCAAGAACTCTTCGTCACCAGGGCGGTATATCACACCAGCGATACTGAGCTCGCTCTTCTCAGCATCCCAGTTTACACCAACATCTTCCTTCTTGGCGCCGGGAAGCGAGACGTGAACGACGTAGGCGGACTCGGTGTCAAAGATATCGGCGTCGGGTGTGTAGTCGTCGGCCTCGGTGGGCTTGGTAGCGTTGGCGGTATTGGAAGGGTGGCTGTCAGTGAACTGGCTGAAGAGCTGGGCAGCAAGGGTTGAGGGGTCGAAGGAGTTCCAGGCGTTATGGCCAGCACCGAAAGATCCGCCGCCCATGCCTCCGAAGGGTCCTCCGCGAGCCCATGGGCCCCATCCTCCGCGATGGCCGCGATGGTGTGGTCCATGACGAGGTGAGCCGCCGTAGGGATGAGAGTGATGGTGTGGGCCAGAGCCTCCAGGGCCGCCCTGGCCACAGCGTCCTCGACGTCCTCCACCCCAGCGACCATGTGGTCGGCCACCGTTGTGAGCATCGTTGTCGGAGCCAGAGTTGCCCGATGGGCCTTCACCGTTGTCGTAATCGGCATTCATAGTAGCACCCTTTTCGGTTTCTGGCTGTTCATTGCGTTCTTGGTTTGGCTCGCCGGTGGCTCTCTCATGACGATGTTCGGGGTGACCGTGAGGAGGGCCGCCACGGTGAGGCATTCCCCTTTCGCCACCAAAGAAATGACCCCATCTGAACGGTGCAAAGGGATCCTGAGCGTCTTGGGTTGGCATCTCGCGATCGTTTTCGGTACCGTCGTTACGGTTCTGTGCAAAGAATGGGTGTTGCGAGCCTTGCTGCTCGAGGCCAGCAACGAAGTCCCAGAAGGGAGCGGAGTTGTTCATGTATGTGACTGATGGCATGATGATGACTTGTGTTGTGAAGTGGAAGGAAGTGCGGTGTTTGAACTGAATATCATGGCCTACCTTTTTCGGCGTCTTATACAAAGCCAACACCTCCAGGCATCAGGTCGCACGTGCGAACGTACGTATGTGCACCCCTCTCCTTTGACTTACTTGCCACCGATATGGGCAGCCTCTCGGGTTACCAATCGCGCTATTTGCGTGCAGAGACCAATCACCCATCATCTTGGGAATACTAGAGAAGCTCACAGAAGTTACCAGAGGGACCATCGACGATAGCCTTCCAGGCCGCGTGCCTCGAGTGTCGCCTAGCAGGGTGGTGAGTAGGCAAACGGGCGTTGCGCGTCCAGACGGCTGGTGGGTCGGGGCTAGATTTCCTCCGATGTGGCGGTGGCTGTGGCGGAAGGACTGTGATTGGCCACAGGCATTACACGGTGGTGTACGCTGGGCTTTCGGGATAGGTCATGATCGCCGGCGGAGGTCTCACTTGCCCGCATGCAAAAGCAAAAAGAGACTGTGTTGGAAAGATTTCGAAAGAAGATGAGCGGAGGTGCTCGAGGTTGTAGAGAGTGTCGCGAGTGGTGACAAGACCACCGTATACAAAGCGTGAAACCAGGAAACTTCGACAAGTATTGTACCATATCGCAGTATACAGCGCGATCTGAGAGAGACACTTTACGTGGTCTGGAGTATTGCAGCCGCCCAAGGTCTTGTAATTCCTTACCTAGGTAGACACACGGTTATTAGTAGTAATAGCAGTGATGAAGAGCTACTGTCTTGTGTATCTTGTATACCAGGATACTGAAGACGAAGAATGCACCCAGATGTCACGATACATGAAGATGCGCGCGCCTAGTGGCGATGTCGAGCAGTCGCGATGCGGAGGAGGGGTAGCTGCAGCTTTCCGAAGTGCAGCTCGCTATGACGCCATTAGTCTGCAACAAACTGCGCGCCCCACCAAACTTCTTCTTCTGCCCACGACCCTGACGACCAATCTTCATTGCATCACCCGTAAACTTCATAACCAATTAAGAAGACCCCAATTGTACCGTACAAGTCAACATGTCCGGATCCATCCCCACCTCCACCTCGGTCAGCGAGTCAGCCGTCATCGACGCGTCTTTCAGCGATGTCTGGCACCTGATCAAGCTCCAGGACTTCAGCAAGTTCTGGTCCAAGCTCGACAAGAGCGAGTTCGTCAAGGGCACTTCAGAGGAAACCGACATCGTCAAGTGGACCTTCAAGGACGGCGCCGAGCTTGAGGTCAAGCAGGAGGAGCACTCCGTAAGTGATGCATTGGTGCAAACGACACCAGCAGCCACTGACTCGTAATTGCAGTCCATCGACCACTTCATCACATACTCCGTCATCACTTCCAAGCCCGAGCTCTCTTACTCCTCCGTCGTGTCCACCATCCGCGTATACCCCGTCACCTCCGGCGCACACGAGGGCAAGACCTTCATCACATGGTCTGGCAACTTCAGTAGCGATGCCGATGCCAGTAAGTGACGGAAATTAACCCCATACTAGAGCGACACTGACACACGCAGGCGTAATCCAGGATGCCAAGTTCAAGCGCCGCGAGGCCCTTGCCGACCTCGCCAAAGTCGCCTCCAAGAAATAGGTTTCGAATGGGCGCTTAACTTTCTCCGATGTTGAGAAGTCCATGCAGTAGAAGATGCATTGTCGCCATCTTGCCTTGTGCGATGGCTTGCGACGAGTATGATGATGTGGATACCACAGGCAATGAACTCTAGGGTCGTTGTTAGCATAGAAGTACCGATCATAATATGACTGTGAAGTATCGATTCATTATGCTGACCTTCGTTGCTCATTTTGTAGCGGCGCATGTGTCTCCGCATTATCTTTGCTGATTAGGGCTAGTTCGTGCTATGTCTTATGACGCAGGCAGTGCTCAGCCTCGCCGCCTGCATCGAAGCGAATCCTTCGATCATCACTGCATACACTTAAAGCTACACCGCATCCACGACAGCACGTCTTCGCTGACATGAAGTCTTCGTCTAGCCACACGTTACCTTTCTACGGTCATTAACGCATCTTGCTGGGTCATCATCATGGATAGTGCAGGAGTTGGAGCAAACGTTTACAGCAAAGCAGAATGTGAGTCACCTCTTCTGACTTGAATGTGGAGTTGCATGCTGACTTCCAACAGTGGAAAAGCAAGTGAGACTGGAGGAACAGCGCAAAGCCGAGAAGAAGAAGGATGATATCAAACATGAGGAAGAGCTGAAAGAGGGTCAGGATAGACGCAAGAAGGGAAGAGTCCATCGGTGGATAAACTATGCGATGGCAAGTCTCAACGGCTGAGAGACTGTACTACTATACGAGCAGACTTTGCTTGAGAGCAAGCAGGTCGCGCTTTCGCGACACGCGGATGGCTCTTCTCGACTGAGATTTAGCTCAGGCATGATGCAACTTCAACAAACGTATACAACTCACGGAATCGAGGCTCTTCATACTGCCAGACGTGCCATCTTCGTCCGGAGACAATGTGTGTTATTTCACATTAGTGTACACGCGGTATTATATTTTCAAGGTTGAAATGTGTACAGGTCGACGTATGCTCCTAGCCCACGCATCGATAATTAGTTCTTATCAAGTAGCATCTGTGTAGGCGGTGAGCGGCATTTATCCCCCTTCTTCAAGACCAGCTACAAGAGCCAAGCCTCAACGAAAAGGATGTCTTCAGTGACTGCGAATTGACACGCATCCGTGCAGTATAAAGACAAAAGATGGTATCGGCTTTTGCCTGCCATATGAGCTAAGTGCTCGCAGCCAGCTCTCGCCTGCTGCATAACCCTCGCCGTGCGATGAAGCATGTCCATCTTTACCACAAGTAAAACTTGTGGCACACGGCTCCCTCCGTGCGTCGAACCTTTCGATTCGCTTTGCCCACAGTTCCGCTGCGGCACACGGTATTTTCTTTGACATGCGTCGGGTCTTACGATCCGCTTTGCCCACAGTTACCTGTAGCACATGTCGCAGACATGCGTCGAACCTCACGGCTCGCTTTGCCTGCAGTCTTTTGCAGCACATATCTGATTTTACGGTATGCGTCGAATCTCACGATCCGCATTGCCTACAGTGACCTGTAGCACATATCATCGACATGCGTCGGACCTTTCGTTCCGCATTGCCCACATTCGCATGCGGCACATGCCTCGTACAGAGCTATATACGTCGAACTTTTCAGTTCGCATTGCCTGCAGTTGCCTGCAGCACATGTAACTCTGTTAAACGTGCGTCGATCTTTCGATCGCTTTGCCCACAGTCATTTGTAGCACACATTCTTGTTTTGACATGCGTCGACCTTTCGATCGCTTTGCCCGCAGTCGCCTGCAGCACATGACTTTGCTTCGAGCTGCATGCGTCGAACTTCTCAGTTCGCATTACCTGCAAGTCGCAGCACATGTGGCTCTAGCCAACGTGCGTCGACCTCTCGGTCGCTTTGCCCGCAGTTACCCGCAGCACACGTTCTTCTCCAACGTGCGTCGACCTTTCGGTCGCATTGCCCACATTTGTTTGCGGCACACGTGTGGAGGCTCGAAATCCAACGGGACCTCAGTAGCGACAATGCCGAATTACTGGACGGAGAAGGCGCATCGAGTAGCGCATAGATGGGAGGCAGGAGGCCTGAAAAGAACGAGATTCCTCTTGAGCGTTCGAACGCGAGTGGTAGAGGAGCTCCAAAAGTTGTAGCGAGGAGGAGAAGAGGAAGTGTGGGGATTTATATACGCGGAGAGGGGAGGCTAGTGCGATGAGTTCACGTGCTGACCCACAGTGCTCTAGGCACCAACGTTTGCTACGTCTGAATGAAACGGGCGGAGTGAATTGACGTTCTTAATATGCGCAATCGCCCGATAGTGACCTTACAGCTGACCCACCACAAGGTGTAAGGCTGTGATCTTACTGATACCATTCACTTCTCGTCACTCGCTACCCGCTCTTATAGTCAGAGTGAAAAGTGGGTGCAGCGACACCCTCATCTTACGTTCCATATGCAGACTTCTACATGATGGCAGACTTTCACATACTTCGGCGGGTGGCAAGGTACTCAGGGGACCGCGACTATCTAGATACATATACACTTCAGCTTCCTCCCTAAGATATCCCACACACGGACACCGAACAAGATTCTTCCCAAATACCGGCTCCAGTTACGACGCAGGGCCTCACAGATCTCCCTCAGCCAGAGGGTGAACCGCAGTGTGGTCGGTTGAGTACAGCCAAATCCTCATTGAAAGCCTACGCGATGTGATCTCCTCGACTTGAGCAATGTGATGCCGATCTGCAGCACCACCTGTTTAATTAGCCGTCAATGCGCGAACGCGACATATGAGTACATTCACAAAGAGAAGGTTGCTGCCTTGGGCTTCTCTATATTGCTTCACTTCCAAAGAGGTGGCCTGATATTGGGTCGGGGAAGCATGTGCCCGCAGGAATCAGTAATAGCGGGCAGGAGGAGCACCTCGTACGAGAGAAACTAAACACATACCTCCTAGAAGTCTACATTACCTTATGGACATTAAACTTCAATACTTGTTCTAACGGAGGTGGCAGAGCGTCTGTTCAAGTGTTTCTTTGTGTGAGGTGAGAGACTGCGGTTGATGGTTCTTTTGTCGCGCGCGGATACGAGATAGCGTTGATCGACCCATTCCATGTCATACTGGAGCGTTTACCATCTTGTTCGCTACTGTTACGTATGGAACACAAAGACACCTGCATGATACGTTGATTCCGACAAATATAGAAAAGAAAAGACCTTTCTCCCTGGAAGTGTTGCATTCCGTCGTCATCAACCGTAATAGCCCTCATGCGCTTTCATGCACAAATGATCAAAGCGAGAACACGCACCACCCCGAAAAAAGAGGTCGGATACCTCTCCCCTCCCAACTCTCTTCACGAAGAGGTTGGCGAAAACCACAACATTCCCAGCCCCCAGCCCTCTAGCACAAAACCAAGCAATGCCGCCAACTCTCGACCATCGCACCTAGCCCTTAATTCTGGCCTTCCTTTTCCCAGGAGTCCGGGTCCAACATATCGCGACCTGAACTAATGCTGCGCGTTATTAGGTGCTGACCATTGTACCACGTTACGTGTCATGCACGCCGGTGCCAGGGGCCAAGGCTGTACCAAGGAAAAGCAATGGGTAGCGGGCGGAACATCGGATTTTGCATCGCAACCTCGGTATAGTTGCTCCAGACATGGAAAATGAGGTGGTCGGTTGCTGATCTCCGAGGGGGAGGCTGGGGAGGTGCGATAAGGGACTTTGGGTACCTGACGCGGTCTTCTCCCGGGGAATACAGGGCCGTGGAAATGACGACCTGCAGTTGCATTAGTTGACTCACACATGTCATTGATCTCAAGGTGGCGAAGGGGAGCTTGATGGGACGTGTTGGTCTTTTCAGAATTATCATTATTACCGTAGGTAAGGTTCCGCGGATAAGCAGCGCATGTTAGTCATGCGAGAATAAAACGCCGTCTTGCCCAGGCATACACAACGGAGTGCTGTGTGAAGTAAATGAAGAATAAGAAAGGATACAATGAATGGAAAACGCGTCATGGCAATCAACGGAAAACTATCTCCGTAGGCCAGAGTCTCCAGGGAATAGGATGCCGTTGGGGTGGAACTCCCTGTGGTATGTTTGCCAGTTCTTGCATGTTCTCTTCATCTCGGCGAAACCATCCTTTGCCTTGATCTCAGACGAGCGCTCAAGGAATTGTACACCAAGACCGGCGGCCACATGGAAGGGGATGTGGCAGTGCATCAGCCACGCGCCGGGATTGTCGGACTCGAAGGCGAGAACAAGGTAGCCTCTGGCGGGGAGGTTGGCTGTGTCACGGCGGATAGGGTTGTTGGTCTTGAGGCGAGAGATGTCGCCGTTCCAGACTGCGTTTTCTTGTTGATCTAGAACGTAGAAGTCGTGACCGTGGAGATGGATAGGATGAGGTAGTGGTGGCGCAGTGTTGTTGGTAGTATCCTGCTGGATAACCCAGTACTGCCACTACATATTTCGTTAGTCGCGATAATAACGCGTTAAGCGAAGGAGACTTACCTTGTGCTTCTCATCAACTTCAAACACGTGTCGGTTGTTACCGTACGTGACGTTACCGTCCAGCACGTGCTGTAGGGTGGGTCGATCGAGGTCAATTGCCATAGGGTTGCCGTTGACAAGCCACTGCACCAGCCCTTGGTTTTGCGTCACATCGCTAGTGTAATTGTCGTTGAAGCCGAATGTCAAAGATTCAGGCATCTCCTGGGGAACGATCGTCTTGGCGTACGGAACGATATTGGCCTCGTCGTAGCAGCCCACCGGTAGAACATTGCCGGTCGAGTTGGGCTGACCTGCGGGAGCGCCAGCATATCGGAAAATGCTCCTGATATTCGCCGCGTTCGCGTTGGGGCCATCACATCGACCACCAGTACCTACTCGCCACCAGTAATTACCAATAGGCTCGGTTGCGTTGATAATGACCTCATAACGTTGACCTGGTGACCATGTCAGTGAAACGTTCCCCAACAATAGTTATCGTGGGCGCATTCTCGTGGGTGGGGGCGCTTTGCACGAACAGATGTTGTGAGCATCGCAGAGAACTGACAGA